AAAGAATTATTAAGAAAATCCTGAATAAGTACGGTCACAAATTTAGCTAATTGCCAACTTTTTATATTGTGTATGCAAATAAAACAACAAAACAGAAAAGAAAAAGAAATGGAAATCTCAAAACAAATTCTCACACCATAATATAAAGAAAATCATGCTTAAATTTTTTTTCCTGAATTAAATACAAGGATATACTTATTGCACGTATAATTTACATGACCAATGAAAAATCAGAATCAGAAGCTTGCATATCAGAAGTTTTATTGCATTTAAATTTATTTTCCATGCATGGAACGTTTTTTTCTTTTTTTAAATAAATAAAAATGATGACCTCAATTATTTCATTCGTAAACTTCTTTTTACTTTAAATTCAGATTAACTAAATTTGGTATATTTACCATGGTATTATGATCGTTCCCAATTATACAATTTGTATATAAATACAAAAAAATTTATTTACTAAGTATTTCATTGTAAAATGCATAATATTTTTATTTAATTTAAAAAAATATTTTTTAATATTTCTTGTATAGAATTCTATTATATTAAAAGAATGTTAAAAATATGAGTAAAATTCATAAAATATATTATTGCCCCAAAAAATTTTTGTACATTTTATTTTTTATTTTTTTTTTTATAATATTTATTATTCGCGACCAGTTTTACTTTCTTTAGATTCCTATGACATAATACTTTTATTCTTCTATATTATAATATATTTAAAAGATCACATCTTTCATCTTGAAATAATAATAAAAAAATAATAAAGAAAATAATAAAATAAATTTGAATAGAATCTTGAATAAAAGTAAAATGTAAACAATTCTCTCCTTGAATAAAATTATCTTAAATAAATAAAACACAAACAGGAAACATAAACCATAAAACATACAAAAAGAGTATATAAGCATAGAAAAGGATAAAATATGTATATATATATATAAAAAAATTTTTATATCATAACTAATTGCAAATGAAAAGAATCATTATTTTTTCTTTTTTTTTGTGAAGGATTTACAATTATCCTTTCAGCATTTGTAATACAATTTCCATATGAATTTCTTTTCTATTATTGTTTTCTATGTTTATTTTTTTTGTAGGTATTTATTATTAACCAAACTTGATGTAAGCTGGTAAGGTAAATAGCTTTAATATTTATTTTTTTTTATATTTTTTTGTCTCATTTTACCTCTTTAGTATATTAGACTACACGAATATATGCATATATAATAAAATAGAGTATGTACTTCATATTTACATATTACCTTAATTTAATAAATAAAATTTACATTTAAATAAACAGTGTGTTTAATTTGAAATTAAAAATTTCAAATTAAATTGAGAATAAGGAAATTTTTCTCATTAATTTTTAAAAAAAGAAGCACTGTTCTAAATCAGTTTTCAAAAAGAAATAGTATTATTTATTCTGTACCATGCTATTTATACTTCACATCTCTAAGATTAAATTTGTCTCATTCAAAAAAGATCCTTAATGGAACACCGGGTATTTTATATAGTGACTGTTCCTATATCTTGAACTGTTACTGGGAGACAACTAGACATGTTATGTTTTCATCAAATAATTCATTGTACAATATGTACACATATAGTTCTCTATCAACTAATTTCGATAAATTATTGTTGGGTCACAATTATTTTTAGGATTCCTTTAAGAGTAAATTCAAATAATCTGTTATTGATCTAGCCGATATAAAAAACATTCTTCCAGCTATTAATTCTCCAGGTTACGTTTTTATTAGTGTTATTTTAAAATTGCTAAGGTACAGCTTTATTCTTCAATTTAAAGAATGCTGTACTTGTAGATTAACTATCGACGTAGTTTATTTCTTCACTAATATTTTTAGTTTTGCCCGCATAATAACCCAATTCGTGTTTGGTCCAACACTGTTTCATATACTAAATTAGATTTAATTGGAGCAGATTAAAATTTAATGGAGTTCAACTTTCTTTTGGTTAGATTATTACAATCGCTTACTCTTATTTTAATATTCCGCCCGAACTAAACAAATCGTTTCAGACAAATGGATTGAAACACATTTCAATAAATTTGAAAACTTATAAAATCATATGTTTACGATAACGATATTTTTGATTTATTATAATTTAGTCGTGAATTACTAAGTGATAGCGCAGTGATATTTTAAATAAATACAAATACAAAATTCGATTGACTAACCCTATGCTGTAATCAGAAAATATTTCAATAAATCATAATATCTCATAAGTTAAGATAATATTTAATTCATATTATATAGAAATATGTTATTATTTTCAGCTTCTCTTTAACTCATCTATTTTTTCTCTTATTTGCAACATATTTGAAACTTATTTAATGTGTGTCGTAAAGAAATTTGCAAGGAGTATATAGAGATTTATTCGTTTAACATTTTCGTTACAATACAATAATATTTTCTTTAATTATATAATATACAATATTTACATAATTATTTATATGAATACCGCATAAAATTCATGTCTATATCATAAAAATAAACATTATAAACAATTCAGATTTCAAGTACTATTTTTATTATGCTTCACACTGAAAATATTTGAATATTTTGAATTTATAATTTTTTCAACAAAATTATAAATTAGAAAAAAAAAATGCTTACGTGATTACAATAATTTTTTTTTGTTTAAATATACTATATACATATGTATGTATATTATACTATTAACATTTTAAGGGTTCGAACAATTTATTTTAATTATCAAATTTTAAACTGCAAAATGGATTGGTTTATATATCAGAATGAGGTGTTTGAATCTTTATATAAAATGAAATGCTAAATTACTACAATAAGTGGAAGAAAATTGGACTTCAAATTTCCAAAATTTTTATAAAGGCGCATAGCTCCTCTACTATAAAACAGTCATCCGTTAGAGACGAGTGAACTTTCTATTAAATGGAAGAAGAAGAAGAGAGCCAAAGAACCAAAGCACAAATGAACTGAATTAATAAAAATAAGTACTTTTTAAAAGTGAAAGTAGTTAGTGCAGTAGAGCCCTAAGTGCACTATTATCACTTATTGTGTACTGCGGTTTTAATATTTCGACTTCTCCCTATAAAATAATTCATTTCAATTGAGTTTTTTTATTGCATTTCCATTTCTTTCTTTTTATATTTATATTAAATACACTTAACAGTTATACATACTTTGAATATGAAATGGAATATTGAATAATCCTAATATTGTGTGTTTAAGTTTCCTTTGAAGTTAATCAAAATTAAATTCTTTAAAACCATTCTATGATATGTATGTTATACGTAACATGTAACATAACATGTCACATTATCAATGCTCTGATTGTTTTTTAAAAAGAGTGTTATTTACAAGCATATTATTTTAATTTGTTAATTGTAAAAAAAAAAAAAAAAAACAAAAATTTAAATAATTTATTTATTTATTTTTTTAGTTTAATATTTTAATATGTGCTAATATGTTAATTATTTGTTATTCCAATAAAAACTAAAAAAGAAAAGAAAACATTATGGTGTTACCATAGTATGCAAATTTAATTTTTTTTTTTTTGTTTAATTTTTCTTTTCATATTTTTGTTTTCTTAAAGTATTTATGTATGTATATAGGATAGCGTGTATAAAATTTTTGCTTTTAATCCCCTCTATTATGTATATCGGTATCGGCCGATAAACGATAATTTATCGGCAAAATTTTGTGTTGGTATTACCAACATTGTTTATCGGTAAATTTTATCGGAGTGGGGAAAGCTTTTTTTCCCTGTATAGAAAACGTATTAGCTGGTATTATGAAAACGATAAATTGTCGGGTTTTCCCCGATTTAAAAGCGGGTACAAATTTTTAAACGACAGATTTTTTTTTTTTGTAAAATCTTCATTTTGTCAAGGAAACTGGTGTAATTGATTGCTTTTTTAAAATGTAAGCATTTTTTCTAAATTATTTTCTTTCAAAATGTTATTCATATATTTTATTTAGGAGTAAAATCGTAAGCAACAAAAAACAAATTGCGCGGTTAGTAGAAAAAATGGAAGAGGACTTAAATCTGGCAAGGAATGTTTGTTCTAAAGCTATAAGCGTGGCGAAGTGGCAAGCTATAGCATTAGAACTTAACAGCTTAGGACCAAATCGTGATTTCGATAAATGGCAGCGAGTAAACCATTTTTTTTTTTTAAAACTATGATTTTTAAGTAAAAATAAATTATACCTGCAGGTTTGGAGTGACCTAAAATACAAAATTCGCAAAAAGGTCGTTGCAAATAAGTCTGAAATTTTGGCAACCGGAGGAGGACCAAATAAATTGCATAATTTTACTGACGTCGAAGAAGCTGTTCTAAGAATAATAAAATTGGATCCTTCAGAAAACTATAGCGGTTCAGCTTTCGGTTTAGAAGAATTTTATTTTGATATGGAAAATGTGTCAGGGCCTGCAGTAGAAGCTCAAGAAAAATCGCTGGACGATACTGATCTGATGATCGAAGGTAATCTGGACCATTCTACAGAAAAATCAAAAAGCAGAAAAACACCACAAAAACAAAAAAAAGAAAATATAGAATTAACAAAAACCAAATTATTACAAACTGAAGTTGATGCACAAACAAATTTTTTCGAAAAACAACTAGATGAAATGAAAAAATTAAGGAGAAGCATAGAAAAAATTGAGAGTTATTCGAAAAAGTTACTAGAACTGAAAGAAAAAAAATTACAACTTAAGAAAGAAAAATTTGTGTTGTTTAAGAAGCATCAAGAAAGTAAAGATAAAGATAGGAAACTGAAACTGCAACTAAAAATTCAAATTTTAGAATTAGAAAAAGAAAACCGTAGTGCTATGCGTGTGTAAATTATTTTTGCTTATTTTGTTTTCTTAGATAAAGAATATTGAATTATGAATTACTTTTCAAAAAATATTTTTATTTCCGTTGATTTTCTTTATTGAAATAAATTTAATGAATTATGGAACTACTATTTAAAAAATATTTTTTATTGATCACCAATTTTTTACAGTAACCGTAATATATTGTCCCTCATTCGTCTTCCTTCATTCAGTCTATTTGATTCTTCTTCCGGAATTTCGTTACTTTCTTCATAACCAATTACTGTATGATCCAATTCATCATCTAATGCAATGTTATATTTCAAACAAATGTTGTGGAGTGCAACACAAACATTGACTATTTGCGTTGCCTTCTGAGGCGTATAATGTAGCTCCCTTGCACCTAGCAGGCAACGAAATCTACTTTTTAGTAAACCAATCGTTCTCTCTATGATATTCCGCCCTTGTGCATGATTTTTGTTGAAACGAGCTTCCAAAGACGCCTCCTCAGTATTTCTGAAAGGTGTTAGCATATATGGTGCCAAGGGATATCCTGAATCTCCTACAATCAAACATTTCATTTGTTATTTTTTTATTTTTGCAGAATATGTGTATGTACTCACCCAGAAATTTAAAATCATTTCGTCCACTACGATAATCACTCTCAATTTTAGCTTTTAAAGCTGACACGTTCCAAATATGCGAATCGTGATAACTTCCTGGGTATTTGGCATTCACATAACGTATGTTCATTACGTGGTCACATACCTAAAATTATTTTTTATTATTAATTTAATTTAGGTGATTATTAAAGCAACTTACTATCAATGCATTTAAACTACAAAATCCTTTTCTGTTGTAGTATAAATGTTTTACTTCTTCTTTTGGACTTATTATTTTTATGTGACTTCCATCTATACAACCCACAATATTTGGGAAGCCCGTTTTTTCGTAAAAATAAATTTTGGCACGTCGTTCTTCCTCTTTACTGTACTCAAATTTAATCCACTTCGGACATGAACGCTTTTCAACTGCGTTGAACACCTCTTTTAAACAAACTGATACAGTAGGTTGAGCTAAACCTAAATTAAAATCGTTGCCTACGCTCAGTTGATAGCTTCCTTGTGCACAAAATTTTAAAGCACATGCCAGCTTTATGATATTAGGTACAGCGCGTTCAGTTTTTGTTATTTTAAGTTGGTCTTCTATTTCATTCAATAAATCTCGAAAAGCTTCCTTCGATAATCTGAAATTCTGGATAAACCTAAAAAATGTGTACATATTATATAAATAATAAAATAAAATAGGTACATAAACATACATTTTGTTGTCTAAATCCAATGGATTAGTTGAATCTCTTATATGTCGTCTTTGAATAGCTTGCGTTTCTTCACTTACTATCGTTTCTTCACTTTCAAAATATAATTCACGCGACATTTTCCCGATATATGTATATTTTTATTTTACAAATTTCACCGAAAATAATTTGCTTACAACATCAAAACCAAATTCAAAATAATTTTAAAAATTTTTTGACAATAACTTTTGAAAGAAAACAAATGTCATTAGAAAAAAAAAAGCTTTTTCTCATATTTACAAAAAAAAAATTTGTATGAAAAAGCTTCTTTTAATCGGTTGAAATATTTTTATCGGTATCGGTTCATAATACAGAAGAAACCTAAAACCGATAAGAACTGCCGATAATATATCGGCCGATACCGATGTTCATAATAGAGGGGAATATCATTAAGAGAAAAAAAATTTTAATTTAATGTTAAATAATGCGAGAAAGTTTTCCCTTCGCTTAAGTGTCTTGTATTTTGTTTTTTGTATTTTATTAAGTAAATTGAAAATTCATGCAAGGTAGGTCAAAAATGAAAATAATTTTAACTGTTGTACACGCAAGTAACAATTATTTTGTTTCTTTTCTTTTAAAAATAAAAAAAAACTCAAAAAAAAAAAAATATTCGTAGCATTTTATTCTGTTAATTTTTTTAATTATATAAGATTAAATTGAAAAATTTATTAAAATCATAATAACATAATTGAATAAAATCAAGTTTTGTAATTAAATTTGTTGCCTTTTTAGAAAAATTCGGGGACAGAAAACTTTAAAGTCTTGGATTTCACAGGGTTTTATTATAAGAAACTTTATCAGTTCATAATTTTTATTAGGCAATTTCTATATTCCAGTCTAAATGTAACCATATATAAAAATTTAATTGAATTTCTTACACCTTAAAATCTATATTCCGGCAATATCATCGGTTAAGGTAGCTCGATTAATTTTGAATTTACTGCCAAAAGCATAAAAAGAATAAATCATATAAGAAAAGTTAACAATTTCTCTACGTTAAATTTAATTAGTTCAAAATCATTTCCAATTCCCAAACTTTAAATAAAACGCCAAGATTGTTATTTTCTAAGTGTGCGTAAATTAAACCGAATTGAATTAATTTCAAACGTAAAGCATTTGGCAATCCTGTATATACGATTACCTTAATATTGATGTGTAAGAATTCGCTTAGAGAAAGAAAACATTCCTATAATAATTTTTAGAATATTTTGAAACTAATTAAGATTTTTGATGAAAATATTTTATAGAAATACCATCTATATACATATATTTTTTTTTTTGGCTTTTATAACATTATATCAAGGATAACTTTTAAACTTAATATTCTTTATATTTTCACTAAATATAGAGGAAATTAATTGAGTCACATCCTTGCAAATAAACAAAAGCCAAGTGAGGAAACTATTGTATACGTTTTTCTTTTATCATATGACATTGATATAGCCTGGTGTATTAATGGTTTTTTTTTTTTTAAATGGTGTTAAAAGCAAAATCATAGTATGCGTTTAAAAAAATTTTTTTTTTCTTGTCGAGGTTTCATGTTTCGAAAAATAAAATTTTTTTCACACTTGAAAATACTTTTATATCAAATAGGTACTTTTTCTTAATAAATTTTTTCCAGAAATCTCAATAGATATTTTATTTTAAGAAACAAAATAAAATTTTAATTAAATAATTATTAATTAAAAGAGTTTGTCAAGTCGAAAATAAATTTTATTCAATGAATGCCCTATAAACATTATTTGCATTCATTTAAAATTTATTTAAAAATTTTTTTTTTCATTTTGATTCCAATTCACATTTTAGTTTTACATACTGCATAATATTATGCATATAGAAATTCAATATTATATTTCTTATTTACATGAAATGCGACGATTTATTAATATAAACTGAAAACTGCCCCAATTAATTTGTAATACATTATGAAAAGCATTTCGAAACTATGAAATAGAATTTAATTAGGTTTTATTTTATAAATCTTGTGATTTATAATTTTAGAATGTATGTAAGCAACATAATTTAGAATATTTAGAATAAAGTATTTTTACCTTATTTACTGAAATATAGTCAGTACGAATATCTCAATTTTTTTTATAAAATTTCTAAAATATTGTATGAGATTAACTATAAAATTAAAACAACATTTAATTTAAACTTGTATATTTTAATTTGAAATTCTTAATGTAGCATTACAGTATGGTCCTTATGGTAGTACCGAACAAATGACCAATTTTGCAATAAGTAACACAATATTTTATCAAAATTGATATTTTAAAATCAATGTTTTTGCAACTATTTAGAAACAATATTGTTGATGACAATTCGTCAAAACGTAATTTTATACTAGTCTTATTTTTTTAGCTTTGAAATTTTGAACCGCTAAAAATGAAACCAGAATCTATTATTATGTTGAATAAAATAACCATAATTTAGGTTATCTGCAAATTACAGGTTATCAGTAAGTTCCCAAGCTATATATGTTATTTTATAAAACATTACGTTAAACAAAAAATTATAAACAAAAAATAAAATATTTTATAAATACTAGTACATATGAAGTCGGCAAACTTATTTTTAATTTTCTCCTAATAATCATAAAATTATTTAAAAATGGCATACAAAATGTCAATATGTCCATACATAGTAACGATCATAATTAAAGAATTTAATACATTAGGGAAACGGCAATATTACATTATGTTAACCCTTATACAATTATTAAATATTAAAACTGATGAACGAACATAAGGCTTATTTATGAAATCAAATTTATTTAAGCCCATCCAAAAACTATTATAAGTAAAAAAGGTGCAGTTAGAATTCATGGTAACGTTCATAGTATCATAAAATTCATCGATAAATTGAAACTAAAATAAATATTCCTCTCCGAACAGGTCATCTTGTAATGGGCTAAATAAATATAAGAAAATGATGCATTCGTCTTTTGTCTTTATTGTTCATTTCTATTCTTCTTAAAAATGCATTTCATACTTTCATGTTCTCATTTCACTTTTTGTATCTAGTTTAAATTCTGTTGAAGTCCAACACCATATTATGAAAGCAAAAAAAAAAAAAAAACGAAGATTTTTTTTGTCAAAGTTTTTTTCACAAAAATACAAAAAAAAAAAGCAAGAATAATGACATTAAAAAAAATCAATTTTTTTTCTCTCCCATCATGAAATTTTAATCTTTTCCTTCCACTTATTTGGATATGATTTAAAGACCGTGAACATTTTCAGAGCATCTGTTTACGCAAAAACTTTTTAGTGTGACTCGAAGCTTTTTAAGAATAGCACAAAAAAGAGAAAAAAATTTTTAAAATTTTTTTTTCCACTTTTACTTTTTTTACATTTTTGTTATGTTTTACTAACTAAGACACTGCAAGCAAGTTTAAGAAAAAAAAAACAAAGCCAAATACAAATGCACAAATTATGTGTATACAACCTGCTATACACTACGTACATTTTTTATATGTACATAGTCGTACACATTTATTTTCCAAATCGGCATCACCTTATAATCACACTTATATGCAACGCCTCAACAATGTACACATACAGGCTTATACTATCAAAAATATTCACATTTTCTTTTGCATTTAAAACCGCTCTTTTGTATTTCAATTTTATTTTCACCTTATTCTATATCGCCGTCAAATTGTTTTTTTTTTTTTTCTTTAAGTTTTATGTCCTTTTAATTTTTTTTTTTTGGTTTTTTGCAATTCCATTATAAGTTTTTTAACAAATTTTTAAGATTTTATTTCTTTCTTTTCTTTTTCGTTTTTTATGTTTTTTTTTTTTTGCATTTTACAATATTTTCTTGCATAACTTACAATCAATTTGCAAGTGCATAATTTTAACCCTCCATTACTTTCTGACTATAAGCAATCAAAAACAGAAGCATAAAGAAAAAAATGTGAACACATAAGCAATAGAACAGAGCAAAAGTAAGCCAATATAAAAAAAAAAATTGTTTGTTTTTTTTTTTTGCAACAAAGAGAGGAAAGACGTAGATAAGAATGAGACAGAAAGAGAGAGTGGGAAAATAAAGTAAGAAAAAGTTCATTTTAACATGAAATTGCTTTTAGAGAGAAAAACTTTTTCTTTCTCCAATTTTTTTACTCATTTGTTTTTTTTTGTTTTTTCATTTTGTTTTCACCCCAATTTTAATGTTATTGAAAAAAAAGAGAGAAAAACTACAATTTCCACCCTAATAGTTCTATAATGGTAGTATAATGAACTTTTCAACTGATATGATGTATGAATATCAGAAGTCTTGGTCCATTGATAGGTTTATTGTTTTCAATCAACCAAAAAATAGGAAAAAATAAAATGGAAACCATGAAAAATGGAATTGATCAAAGCAAATCCATTAAAAACTGAATACGAATTATTAATTTTCATTTGATCCCTCTTTTTCTTCTTGTTTTTTTTTTTTATACAGAAAAACTTTGGGATTTGTGGCTTTTTTTTATAACAGTATTGGATTTACACGTAAATCAATTCAATATACGATTGGATTAAATTTTTAATTTTATTTAATTTAACTTTTATTTAAACCGTTTATTCTACAATTGTTCTACAATTTTGATATTATGTTTGTTCATTGTAAATTTATGGTAGGCTGGCGCGATATTTTACCACTCCTGTGAATTATACAATTAATCATTAGAAAAATTTTAATATTAAAATAAACATTTTACTCTTAAGGCATTACAGATTGCATTCAGTTCATAATTTATACTCATCTCATAAAGGGTAACCATGTTAGGCTTAAGCAATTCGTTTAAAATACTGGAAATCTATTTGGCATCTTTTAAATGATTGAAGCAGCTATTCGAGTGGTTATGAGAAAGTTTTACAAATATATCTCCTCAAAAACAAATTATTTATTTGCACTGTATTTAGAATTGGTAAATAGAAACCATTTTGATAACAATGTAACTATTGAAAAACAAAATTACCAAGACAGCTTTCTAACAGTATTTAATATATGTTTATTTAAATGGTATACTGTCCTATCATAGGGTGTCAT